TAAACCTAAGCGAAGGCCCATCCTTACCACTTGCTGATGGTGTTACCTGGGCAAACGATTTGATCTCTATGAGCCTAGATTTCCTTATTGGCCAAATGGGGTAGTCTTGCCTTGCTCACAGCATTATGAGGCTTAAATAAAGTCATTTTATTAATAATTATAAATTAATAAAGTCATCCCTTGTTCCTGACATATAATCAGTTCAAGTTTGGCAGTGTTGGGTTCATCTGGGCCAGGGAAGGCAACCAGAATGCCTCTAGAAAGTCCCGCAGAATTGATCTGTGTGCAACTATCTTGTGGAAAAGAGGCAGTGGGGTTAGCAGTTTGGTCCTCTCTGCCCAGCTGCTGGACTGAAAAGCAGATGCCATGGAAATGAGAGAGATTTAGTATTTAATCATCTCGCCTGGCAAAAAGCATCTCTGATTATGACCGCGCCCCCCCGCTCCCCAAACCCCGGCATGTGCACACAAGCTGCCATCCTTCCTGGGAGGGGCCATCCTCTGCCTCCAGCCTTTGAAGTGGTTTTGAGGGGAAGAACTGCTTTTTGCCATCAGCACGTACATCACGTGGAGCAGAGGAGCCGGGATGCACTCATAGGTTATGTGCTGGGAATGACAGTTTTACTGCCCTGCTTAATTGGCTCTGCACACGTTGGAGAAATTGACCATGGCTCTAACAACAGCAGGATTGTTCCCCTACCTCTTACACCACTTCCCTTAAGCTTAATATTTTAAAAACCCAACATGTATATGTTTCAAAGAACCCGTCTGTGTTCTCTGTTATTTGTAACTGTGTTTGGACATACAGTGATTGGGAGAGGTCACGTTCCTCTTGAGAAGGAGCTATTGGGACTTTCTTGTCCTGTAGGGGACACAAGATTGACCTGCCACGCTCCCCTCTTGCCACACTGCCTCAGTGAGGCAGCAGGCAGCATCTGTTGTGATACCTGCAGCTGTTCCACAGGCGCCAAGACCTAGCTCTTCAGCAAACAGGTATTCTAATGCTCCAGATGGCAGATGCTTCCAGACTGGAGGTTGATAGACATTCCCATGATACACAAGGATGTTAACAATAATGAATTTCAAAATGTTACCCAGAGGCCTCAGGTCTGCGCCACTGGTAAACAAGAAGATATTCTGCTTTTCAACTCTACCTGTGCTCTTAGCCTTCTTAATTAACACCATACCCCTGGAGGGCAGGACAAAGTCCAAACTCCATAGTATAGCATACAAGGTCTTCCCTGCCCTGCCCTGCTTGCTTCTCTAGCCTCATTTCCTCCCACTCTGTCCCCCAAGTCCCAGCACACACCAGCGCTTTCTTTCCCCTGTACTTTCTACAGGCTTTCCCTTGGAGTGGCATGCTCTGCCCCCTGCTTTCCCATCTCCCATTCAGCATGCTGGACTTGCTCTGGGGTCTTCTATGCACTAGCTTTCCTGATCATCTCACCAACCTCCGAGATTTTCATTTCCTTCTCTGAATACCTTCTGAACGTCATGTATTTTATCAATACATGTGTAATCTAGATGTCAGCTGGGGTCGACAAGCCCTTTGAGATCTCGGTAAGATTGAGCATTCTAGCTCTGCCTCTTTCAGTTTGTAGAAAGTCCAGTGGCCTCCCAGGTTTGCTCGGGTATCTCAGGTTCTCGTGGTCACCTTTGGCTTTGAAATCCTGCCCTTGAACTCCAGTACTTGTAAGTTCAGTCTGAATTAGTTCAGTTTGTGGATGGGCTCATCATCCCAAGAGATGTTTTGGTTCCCTCCTGGGTGAGTCCAGGCTTAGCTTTTTTTTCTTTCTTCCCACCTGCCACACAGTCATTACGGCCTTTGTTTGTGAACCAAATATTGTTGAAAATGTCAGACCGAGGGGGCTTACTTTGGAGCAAGCAACGATCTGAGCCCATTTACAACAGAACCTAAGTGTTCAACTACAGAGTTAACATAGATTCTCTCTGAATGGTGGGAAAAAGTACATGATCTCCATCCAGTTTTCTGATTTGATCAAGTTCAGGGAGCCGTCCTGTCTAAGGTGTGGAGGCGATAGTGGTCAGGGGTGGACAGGAGCTGGCTTGAGCTTTGTGGTGGCTTTTGATGGCTATATGCAAGCCATTCTCCCTTTACCCTGTCAGCTGTCCTCGTAGTCCTCAAGAACTCCTTCTCCATGTTCCAGAAGGCTTGGCACAATGCTGCAGCCATTTGAACGATGTGCTGCTCCCATCAAAAGAGCAGCTAGCCACTGACTCAGTGAAAAGAATCTCACCATGACAACCCAAGGGAAACCCAGAACTGTCTTAGTCCAAAACCGGGGATGTTTCATTCCAGAGAGTGGAGCCCACAGATACCCCAAGTGTAAGATCTCAGTCAGCCACAGATATTTGGATTGAGTAGTTTCTCTTCTGGAATGTTCCTAGGGAAATGACGAGCCCTGCCTGCCAAAGCCTATCTTGCCTCTTTGAAAATGTTCATCTCGGACTCTTGTATATTGATTTTTGTCCAGTTCTCTCTGATACTTTAACCTAGACTCATCTGTTTTCTTCTTGATTTATCCAATTATTTCTTGTGCCATAGCATGTTTCTTTTATGCCAATGTCCAGTCCCTTCATGAACCTGTGTTCAGTGGAGAAGAAGAGAAAGGAAACTACCATACGGTGGCCAGACATTAAGCCATTTCAGATTTACAGCTGTACCCAATAGTATACTTGTTAACCATTGGGTATAACTGTAAATCATTATTCATCATTATTCCAAAGTTACAGGTAAGGAATATGAATCTCAGAGAAGTTATGAGACTGCTCCAGGGTCTTGTGTATGGAAAAACCTGTATTCTATCCATTACACCATGGTGCCTCACAGAGGACCAGACTGTCTACCTGATTCAAGGTTGTATCTTTCCCATCCTATGCTTTGATTGCTTCCCTCTATCCTGTCCTAAAAATCTGCTGTGGTTCAGCCTAGGGTCAGCACAGTGGGGGCTCTCCAGCAACTCTGAAAGGAATGCATCTTTCCCCTCTTCATTGCTTTTTGCTTCCCTGCCCTTTGCAAATTCCACACTTTGGTAGAATACTGTGACTTGCATTCCCCTACACCACTTAATACCATTGCTGTGACATCATCTTGGAACAAGTCCATAATCCTTTCCTAGGCCTATCTGTGGGCATAATGATTCCCGAAGCCTATGTCTGGTTTAAAAAGTCCAGCCCAAGGGAGGTCCAGATCTTCACCTGCAGAAGCTCTTCTATTGGATGTGAGTAATCAGATAGCACTGACTTGAAGGACTTGCAGAACATTGTTTGCATTGGAAGCAGAACCAAGAGGTACTAAGATCCCCCTGCTGGACCTCCTATGCCAGATATGCTAGCCACATCTGGTCCCCAAACACAGGCACTGACACTGCTAGTATTTTGTACTCCATTCTGTGTCTGTCTTTGTGGAGTGAATGTCCTCTCCAAACAAGATGGGGTAAATTAACTAAGGGACAAATCCTTGCAGTGCAGTGGGAAGTAATTCTCACTGCAACATGTTGGGGGAAGAGCTAACCCCCTTCTTTCTCTCCCAGCTCCCAGTCAGGGAATTGGGCCAGCTTCTTTTTAACTATATAAATTTTACAGTCCCCTCACACCAGCTCATGTTCTCTGTTTACTCTACAACCATCTTTCTTGCCCAGCCAACAAGAAAAAGTTTAAAGTGATTGCCTGCTTATATCTAAAATGCTTCCAGACTGTAGACTTCTTTGGTGCTTACAGATTTGCATGGAAAGAGAAGGCTGAAAGTTTATGGCTTGAAAATTCAGACTTATCACTAGATCTAATGCTAGTCAGTTGAGGTTCCAGTGGCTTTTAAACACAGCTAAGTGGATTTCAGCTGAAAGATATAACTAAACATTTCATCATTTATTCATCTTTCAACTTTAATTATTGGAAACAGCCTGCTTAGTAATTCCCTGGACCAAAATTCTGATTTGAGGAGTCTTACCATTAACTCTTTGGTGAATGGGCCATAATATCTTTAGACACATTATGGATGGTGACTTTATTTCCCAAGCCACCCAAAATGAGGTGTTTTATTTAAAGGGAGAATGTTGTGTGTTTGTTTTTAGGCTAACAAATTCCTACCAGTTTTACAGGAAAAATGTGTGATGTTTTCCATCTATCGTGCAGATAAGTTGTACTTCAGCCTCAAAATAATGCCTGTGGAGACAGGTCGTCAGGCGTTGAAGGGAAATGTATTTGTGGGCAAGTGTTTCCAACCAACCTTAAGTTTTTATTGCAAATATGTTGGGTTCTGAGTAGTAGTAATTCACCTTCTCACCATTATAAATTGTCCTTTTCTTGATACTTACAACCCCAGATTATGGCAAACAATTTTATACCTATCAGAAGAGATGCACACCAAGGTTATCAGTTTAGAATCCTCTGAGGCCTTTATGTTCCATGTTTGATAGAAATGACTGACTTGACCCTATTAAAAAGTGAAAATGCTTATCTCAGAGGGGGGATAAAAAGTGAACTTTGTTTTTGTTTGTTTGTTTGGTTTTTTGTTTTGTTTTGAGTCAGGGTCTCACTCTGTCACCCAGGCTGGAGTGCAGTGGCACAATCTTAGCTCACTGCAAACTCCGCCTCCCAGGTTCAAGCAATTCTTCTGCCTCAGCTTCCCAAGTAGTTGGGATTACAGGTGCCCACCACCATGCCTGAATAATTTTTGCATTTTTAGCAGAGATGGGGTTTTGCCATGTTGAACTTTGTATTTTTAATCCACAAACATATTTCTTCATCAAAATTTTTCTCTCTGCTCAAAGGAAAACTTCACGTTTTGCCATTGGACTTTGCTGGGATCATTACTTGCCTACATGTTTGTAATGGTTCCACCAAATTCTGTGACTGGTAAACCTCCACACAATGTCTTGGATAGTTTATTTTACCTCCTGCATGGTTGCAGTTCCTTCTTCCCACACACTGTTACCCTCCTGAGACTGAATGCATAATCCTGTTGCTTTTGCATTTTAGACTTCCAGGTCCTACCGCGAGGGTATCCGCTGCAGGCAGCGAGGCCAAAACACGTGGAGGGTCAACTACTGCTAACAACCGACGCAGCCAGAGCTTTAACAACTATGATAAATCCAAACCAGTCACCTCTCCGCCCCCACCGCCAAGCAGCCACGAGAAAGGTGAGTCACCTTCTTGAGGAGCCTTTTTGGCATTTTCCTTCAGAGCACGTCTACCTAGTTCCTTTGGGTGAATTAGGTTGGGTCGTGGGGAGGGGTTGCATTTGTGGTGAAAATGGGTTACAAGGACATATTTGGCAGGCAGGAACTTTTTAGCCAGAGGTATTAATAAAGTGGGGGAAATATTATTATAGTCACTAGCAAAAATAATTTGCTATCTTTGTTTGGGTGGGGCCCCATAAACACTTGGCTATGGATAGAAGCGATATAGCATTTGGAATTTGAAAATACATTTTCATGGAATATGTTTTATATATTAAGTAATTTTTCAGAAATATAAGCTTCTTGGAGCATGCATTTTGTGAACTATGATAAGCTTTTTTATCCATCAGAAATAATGTGAGGGGAGTTAGGAACAAGAGGTTTTTACCCTTTGAAAAAGTCAGGAATGTGGATTGGCTCATTGAAGATCTTGGCTACATATAAGGAGTGGACAGCATTGCTCTAGGAGTTGTGATGATGTAACTTTTGCCATAAAAGGATATGGATTTTTTTTTTACTATACACAGTACTGAGTTTTTAGGATGGAGAAAAATAGTGAATAGTCCCGTGGGGGTCCTGCCCAGAAGGTAGTAAAACAAACCTTTGCTTGTTTCAGCCTCTATCTCTTGAGACATTGGAGAAACTGAGGTAGATTATTCAAAGATTATTCAAAAAGAGGTAGAGCCTTCCTTCATTCCTTCTAGGCAAAGTAGTCTAGACTAGACATCTTTAGGAAATATGTCCAGGTCTCCTGGAAGCATTTCCTACCTGGTGGTGTAGAAGATTCTTAGGGCTGTCTGGATGGTGTTTCTTGATTTCCCTGAGGTCCAGGAAAGCTGCCCTTCACTCCCTAAAGTGCCCCAGGAGCATGGGCAGCCCTCCTACTGTGAATGAGCTGGGAACCGCCGCCATCTTCTCCTCTAACTCAACGTCACTTGATTCAGTGGAACTGAGTTCCCCCAGGTGTTTGCTAATCACTATATCTTTTCCTCCCCACATATGAAGGAAATGTAAAGAGGGCTGACAGATGTGTATGGAAAAAGATTTTCCAGCCAAGGCACTGGGAACTCTGCAAATGGCACTAACGCTATCAACAGGATGTCTTAACCCATCAAAACTTTGTCATCCAGCCCTTAGTTTCTGCCTCAAGCAACCATTTTTACTCTTCTTCTCTCTCTCCTTTCCCCCTTCTTTCCCCTCTTCTCTCCCACTTTCCTTTTCTTCACCATACCCGTGTGTTTTTTAAGTGTGCTTAGATTACAAAAATAATATATGCTTGTAAAATGGTACAAGTATCAGATAAAAGTTCTCCTGTCTATTTTCCTTAGAGTACAAATATATACCATTCTATATATATCCATCTAGAACTTTCACAATGCATTTATATATGTATATATTTATGTATGTATGTATATGTATGTAATAGAAAGGTTTGTGTTTTTACATTGATGTGTAAAAGCTACTTTATGAGTACCTACCATGTGTCTTATTTTATCCCTATTTTACAAAAGATGAAACTAAAGCAAAGAAAGGTTAAGTACTTGCTGAAGTCCTATCAGAGATAGTGAGAGATGGAGTTGGATTTGAACCCAGGCACTTCGGTTTCAGAACCATGATTAATACTGTGCTTTCCCTGGAATTGGGAAGCAAATGCTTGAAGCTTTGCCAGTTGAGGGCTGGTTGGCCGGCACATGAGGAGAAAGTTGGGAAGGTGTTAGGAAAAGCCTGTGCTGGGCCTCTCCTCGGGGGCCAATCTGCCCTTGCCCCATGCTCCTTTGGGAAGAAGCTATCATAAAAGAGTCTGAAAGATGGATGTGAGACCCAAGTTCAAAAAATTGAGAAAATAAAGGTAAAAGTTCCTAGTGGATGGGACAGGTGTAGAAGGATACTGTGTTCTACAGCCGCCTACGCGTGTGCCCACCAATGCTAGGACGGCAACTGACCTGCCCCTGCCCTGGGCAAAGGCTCCCACATCTGCTCTGAGCAGCCTGAGAACGAGGCCCCTTAAAGGACCATGGTGCAAATTCTAGTAGAGGCAGTGCCCCAGGGAAAGAGTTTAGTGTCAGATGAAAGAAAGGGAAGTCATATTTATTTATTTAGAGATGGAGTTTTGCTCTTGTTGCCCAGGCTGGAGTGCAGTGGTGTGATCTCGGCTCACCACAACCTCCACCTCCCGGGTTCAAGCAATTCACCTGCCTCAGCCTCCCTAGTAGCTGGGATTACAGGCATGTGCCACCACGCCCGGCTAAGTTTGTCTTTTTAGTAGAGATGGGGTTTCACCATGTTGGTCAGGATGGTCTCGAACTCCCGACCTCAGGTAATCTGCCCGTCTCTGCCTCCCAATGTGTTGGGATTACAGGCATGAGCCACTGTGCCTGGCCATCATATTTATTTATTAAGTGCATATTATATGCTGGGAACTTTGATTTTCTTTTTCTTTTCTTTTTTTTTTTTTTTGAGATGGAGTCTCACTTTGTCAATCAGGCTGGGGTGCAATGGCACAGTGTTAGCTCAGCCTCCCAAGTGGCTGGGATTACAAGTGTGCAACACCACGCCCTGCTAATATTTGTATTTTTAGTAGAGATAGGGTTTCACCATGTTGGCCAGACTGGTCTCTAACTCCTGACCTCAAGTGATCTGCCCGCCTTGGCCTGCCAAAGTGCTGAGATTGCAGGTGTGAGCCACTGTGCCTGGCCTGATTTTCAGTATGGTACCTGATCTTTATAAATGTTCTGTGAAGTAAATACTGTTAACTCAATTTTACAGGCAGAGAGAATGAGGTTAATAGAGATTAAGTAACTTGCCCTCACTGGTAACTAAGCACTGGAATTGTATCCAGGTTCCACTCCTGGATTCAAACTCTGGCTTCGTCCTGTCCTTGGGGAGGTCTGTTATGAGGATAAGGTGGGGTGGTACATGTGAGAGTGTTATGTGAGCTGTGACACTGGAAAACTCCTGTGAGGATTCACAATGATAAAAACAACTGATGGTGGTCCCAGTCTGTAGCAGGGTGCATTTATTCTCTCCCCTACCCTGGTCTGTCCCAGGTTTTTTTTTTATACTAACTTTTTCAACCATCCTGAGGTAAAAAGGCCGTGGAAGTTTACTTTCAGAAACTGCTGCATTTCCTTCACCTTTTTCCTTGGTTTCTGTGTTCTCCCTTGAACCTGACCTGTTGATTGCAGCTCCTGAGGTAGCCAGCCCACATGCAGAGTGAAATAACTACCTGGATAAGACACAACAGGTACCTGGGCGAGGTCACCTCTTGTCCTTCACCTTAAGAAGTTCCGCCTCGGGGAGGGATACTCTTGTGAACAGATGAACCACAGTTTGTTGTGGTGGGTGCTGTGTAGCTGAGGCGTGGACTGTTTTCAGGTGAGGTAAACTCCGTGCTGTAATCCCATCACCCCTGTTCCTTCATCCTTCCTGTAAGTGAGTCAGACCCTGACTGGCTCGGGTTCTGGCATTGCACTCTCAGGTGAGCCGATTCATAGACTACTTTTTCAGACAGTAATGGCAAAATACCTATAACATAAAATTAACCCTCTTAACCATTTTAATCAATAATGTTAAGTATATTCACATTGTGGTACAGCCAATCCCTGGAACCTTTTCATCTTGCAAAATTGAAACTCAGTACCCGTTAAACAATAACTCTCCATCACCACCTCCCACCAGCAGCCCCTGGCAACCACTTTCTGTTTCTATGAGTGAGAACTCTAGATATCTCATGCAAATGAAATCACACAGCATTTTCCTTTTTGTGTACGGGACACAGCTTCTGAAGAATTAAATAATTACTTATAAAGCACTTTAGAATACTGCTTGGAAAATAATAAACACTGAGAAAATTTTATCTTCAAAATATGATAGTATATGCATAAAAATATGGAATAATATAAATAATGGGCATATTTCACTTAGCATAATGTCCCCAAGGGTCATCCATGTCATAGCCTGCAATTCATAGACTTTAATGTGTGACCCCATTGACCTAAGAATTTCACTCTGAAGAATTGCTCTAATGACATCAGTAACTTCAATTAGAAATTCATTATTCTGTCAATAAGTGACAAAAATATTTCAACATTTAGTCCCAATTTTTTAAAAATATTAAGAGGAATTAAAAATTGTAACAGGCAACTTTTCAAAACCCATAGAGCACTTTATACTTTGTAGGGAAATCCTAAAGGATTTATCTTAAAATCATGCCCCCTCCTGCCATCATCACTGAATTTAGTTCTGGTTACACAGAACAACCCACTGAGATGTGAAGCTGAAGAAAAGAGATAATATATAATACTTCTTAGCTAGAAAAGGCCTAGAGACTCACATGAAATTCATTCACTTGTTCCATAAGGTGGTGGCCAAGTACACAGTTGATGTGTAAAAAACAAAAATATTCCCAGACAGCAACATAACCTACTAGTTTTCCCAAAGACTGATGTCAGATTTTGCCTGTGAGGTTTGAAGGAAAGTCTGCAGAGCCTTTAGGAAAACCTGCAAGTTGTTTGTTGTATCATCATTGCCATCATGGTTAGATTTGCCTTTGATTTCCTTTTCTCTCTCCTGCAAGCAGCAATGAGCCACATCTGTGCCTGACCTGTGGTACATGTGAGCAGATTTGCCAGTGAAAAGTCAGTGTCCAGAGATGGTCAGGACACAGGAAGACTACTCACTTCTGCTGACTCCAAGTGGCCCTAGGGCTCCAGACCAGAATCACAGATTTTCAGGGACAAAGAAATAGCTGTCTTTTAAAATATTTGTGATATTACCTGTTTTATCTTCCTTTCCTCTCACATCCTTTGAATGAATTAACACTGCCTGGGATCTAGTACATTTCTAAAGTATTTGGTCCCTCTTACGAATTTGAAACATTTGGTATTCCCAGACTGACTTATGTGCATATAGAAGATACTCTCTTCTGAATAATATGGTTTTCTTCATTTTACAGAAAGCAC